TTATTGTATTTGTAGATCCCTTAAGTATTTGAGAACTTCAGGCTGGGAACTCTTGAATTAAGCAGCAGAAATTTGAGGGACAAAATGCAGATAGGTTGCTTGCAATAGCAAAGGGGTAAATTAGAAGGGTCCAGAGTATTAGACATTGGAGAGGAAAGAGTGTGGATGTGGGGTACTATTCTTACAATTTCAAGTCTGTATTTTATCTAGAAACCTCTTCAAGTAATAAAAGCTTACTGATAGTTTACTGATTTTCCTGTATAAGACACTTAAACTAAGTTTATATTTTAAACAATTAAATACCAATTCAGTTCAACTCAGCGTTGGCCGAGCATTGACTACATACAGAGTTTCATACTAGGTGTTGTGGGTGGGAAAGGAAAAAGGAACTAACGTTTATTGAATACCCACTCCATGGTTAGAAGTTGCTAGGTATGCAACCCTTTGAGATGGATATAGTTATTTTCCTTTATAGATGAGGCTAACCACGCTGGTCACCTATTATTTTTCTGGGGCATGCTTCTTCCCTGGGGCCTTTGCTCTTGCTAATTAACTATTGGAATGGGAAAATCTTTCCTTGAAAAATCTGTGTAGCTAGTTATTTTTCAAATATAATCTGATCAGTAATGCCTTCTTTGACCACCCTATTTTAAGTTGCAACCCTCTCCCCACCGCACACTCCTGAAAGCTCAAGGAATTAAATAACTTGCCCATGTGTAAGAACACGGCATTTCATTTTAAAATAATAAAAACCCAGAATCTCCAATATGGATGCTGGAATAATAATTTGTTAGATGAGCAGAATTATTGGATTGAGTGTTCTATGTCCCCAAGATTGGTTGCTGCCAGGACCACACTGGCCTCAAGGAAACTGTCCACTGTTAACACTGTGGCCTGGTTTGTGTGCATTGAATCCCTGCTTACATTATTCCCCTAGCGTAGCCTAGGCAAGGTGTTAAGGGGCAAATAAGTTGTAATTAAAGGCTGAAGCAATGCTAATGAATTAGGGGAACATGGAAACAGATAATCTGATTGAAGGGTTTTTTCCCCTTGCTTCCCCCCACTTTCCTGAAAGGAGCTTCATGATGTATCAGTCACCATTTAATGAGGGAGGCCATGTGTTTCACATAAGGATTTGCCCTCACTGTGTCAGGCCTGAATCCTGCCTGACACCAGGGCCAGGGCTTATTTTAAGACAAAGACCCCACGAAAAAAAAAGAACTACAGGCCAATATCTCTAAAGAACATGGGTGCAGAAATTCTCAACACAATACTAGCAAATAGAATCTAACAGTACATTAAAAGAATCACTCACCACGATCAAGTGGGATTCATTCCTGGGTTGTAAAATGTTCAATATTTGCAAGTCAGTCAACACCACATTAATAAAAGAAGAAATAAGAAGCATACAGTCCTCTCAGTAGATGCAGAAAAAGCATTTGACAAAATACAGCATCCATTCTTGATAAACATCCTCAACAGAGTAGGGATAGAGGGAACATACCTCAACATCATAAAGGCCATATATGAAAGACCCACAGCTAATATCATCCTCAATTGGAAAAAACTGAAGAGGTTTTCCTCTGAGGTCAGGAACAAGACAGGGATGTCCATTCTCACCATTGTTATTTAACATAGTACTGGAAGTCCTAGCCACAGCAGTCAGACAACAAAAAAATAAAAGGCATCCAGATTGGCAAGGAAGAAGTCAAACTTTCACAATTTTCTAGAAAACCCAAAAGACCCCACCAAAAATTGTTAGAACTGATACATGAATTCAGTGAAGTCACAGAATACAAAATATATGTACAGAACTCTGTTACATTTCTATACACCCATAATGAAGCAGCAGAAAGAGGAATCAAGGAATTGATCCCATTTACAATTGCACCAAAACCCATAAGATACCTAGGAATAAACCTAACCAAAATGGTAAAAGATCTGTACTCTGAAAACTATAGAACACTTATGAAAGAAATTGAAGATGACACACAAAAAATGGGAAAACATTCCATGCTAATGGATTGGGAAAACAAATATTGTTAAAATGCCTATACTACCCAAAGCAATCTACACATTTAATGCAACCCCTATCGAAATACTACCAGCATTTTTTACACAGCTAGAACAAACAATCCTAAAATTTGTATGGAACCACAAATGACTCTAAATAGCCAAAACAATCTTGAAAAAGAAAAGCAAAGCTGGAGGCATCACAATTCCAGACTTCAAGTTCATTACAAACCTTAGTGAATTAAGACAGTATATGGTACTAGCACAAAAACAGACACAGAGATCAATGGAACAAAATAGAAAACCCAGAAATGGACCCACAACTATATGGTCAACTAATATTTGACAAAACAGGAAAGAATATCCAATGGAAAAAAGACAGTGACTTCAACAAATGGTGTTGGGAAAACTTGGCAGCAACATGCAAAAGAATGAAACTGGACCAGTTTCTTACACTATACACAAAAATAAATTTAAAAATGCATGAAATACCTACATATGAGATAGGAAACCATAAAAGTCCAGAGCAGAACACAGGCAGTAACCTCTTTGATATTGGCCCACAGCAGCTTCTTACTAGATGTCTCTGGAGGCAAGGGAAACAAAAGCAAAAATGAATTCCTGGGACTTTATCAAGATCAAAAGATTCTGCACATCAAAGGAAACAACGAACAAAACTAAACGGCTACCTTCAGAGCGGGAAAAGATATTTGCAAATGACATATCTGATAAAGGGTTAGTATCCAAAATCTGTAAAAAGCTTATAAAACTCAACACCCAAAAAACAAATAACCCAGTTAAAAAATGAGCAGAAGACATGAATAGGCATTTTTTCAAAGAAGATACCCAAATGGCTGACACATTAAAAGATGCTCAACATCACTGATCATCAGGGAACTATAAATCAAAAAGTACAATGAGGTAACATTTCACACCTGTCAGAATGGCTAAAATCAACAACACAAGAAACAACAGATGTTGGGGAGGCAGGGAAAGGAGAACCCTCTAACACTGTTGGTGGGAATGCAAACTGGAGCAGCTCCTCTGGAAGAAAGTTTGGAGGATTATCAAAAAGTTAAAAATACACTACCATCCAGCAATTGCACTACTAGGTATTTACAGAAATACTGGTTTGAAGGGATACATGCACCCTGATGTTTATAGCAGCATTATCAACAATAGCCAAATTATGGAAAGAGCCCATATGTCCACAGACTGATGAATGGATAAAAGATGTGGTATATTTATACAATGGAATATTTCTCAGCCATCAAAAATAATGAAATCTTGCCATTTGCAATGATGTGGATGGAGCTGGAGACTATTATGCCAAGTGAAATAAGTGAGTCAGAGAAAGACAAATACCATATGATTTCACTCATATGGAATTTAAGAAACAAGACAAATGAATATAGGGGAAAAAGAGAGAGAGGCAAACCATAAAGCAGACTCTTAACTATAGAGAACAAACTGAGCATTGCTGGAGGGGAGGTGGGCCGGGGGATGGGTTACATGGGTGATGGGTATTAAGGAGGACAGTTGTGATGAGCACTGGGTGTTATATGTAAGTGATGAATCACTAAATTATACACCTGAAACTAATATTACACTGTATGTTAATTGGAATTTAAACAAAAACTTGAAACTTAAAAAAAAGAAAAGGGTCTGTTAAAGAGTTCAGGCGAATTTTAGGAAGAATGATTTTACTTTTTGTGCAAGAAGTACTTCCTTTGAGTAATTTTCCTGACCTCTTACCTTATTATCCCTTAATTAGACTCCTGAGAGGGATGGAAGTAACTTCTGTTTGATGGAATTGAGCAAGAGAGAACTGGTTCCTTCTGGGTCTAATTTCTTTGGGACCTGTCTATCAATAGGAAGTGATCTTTGTGATCTGTTCTCTGTCACATAGCAAACTTAGCCCCTGCGGGGGGAGGCTTGCAGCTTTGGGGGACAAGTTCAATTCAGGATTGTCAGGGATACATACTACTGTCTTCAGTATCATCTAATCAATAATAGAGAAAGTATTTTTATTCTATTTATCTGACTCCTGTGTCTGTTTTTAGTTAGTTCTTAATTGTGGGCAAAAAAGTGTTGTTATTTGTTAGGACCTTCAAACTCCAAGAAAGTGAATAAATAATTACAATATGAGCTACACACATAGGTGGTGTATTAGTCTGCACAGGATAGGCAATGCTGTAGTAACAAATAAGATACAAAACTCTCAATGACTTAAAGCAATAAACATTTATTTCTCCCTCCTGTCACAGTCCAGTGTGAGATGGCTTGGCCTCTTCTGTCTTTTAGCTATACCATCTAGAATATGTGGCTTACAGAATCACTGCAATAAGGGAAGAAGGGAATGGAGCAGGCACATTGGCCCTGGAATTGATACTGAACACTTCCGTTGAAATTAGACATAACTATTCACATGGCTGTAAACAACTGAAGGGAAGCTTGGAAATATGGAGGAACACATGGGTACTTGGTGAGCACAAACTCTGCTATAGGTAGATTCAGAACAATCAGGGAAGGTTCAAAGGAGCAGAGTAGGGAAGAAAAAGGGTTGAGTGGTACTCAAAGTATACTTTGCCTATTTCATAGTTTTCCCAAAGCCAAATATTCTCTCTGAAATTTATCTGTATGATCTCTTCAGAATCCAGTGCCATCAAGCCATTTAAAATTTAACTTAATATGAGAATTGAGGGTTTTTCCCATTAAGTGTGCGTTTTATCTGGGGTCTTCTGGAGACAATATGCTCTTGGTTTTATTGCAGATTTATTGTCTTTGTTCCAGTATGTATTATATTAGCCATGATTCTAGGAGAGAGAATTTTGGGTCCACAATATTTTTGAATACTTTGAGCTTTCAGTAGTCTTCAGATCACATCATATAGTGCTTTGGGTTTTTCCCCCCTAAGATGGGATTTGTTTGAGTAGGAGTCATCTAATATAACCATGTTTGTTAAGCATTTTCTCTGAATTAATCAGCTGGTATTTGTTAGTTTTTTTTCTAGGAAGAGAATCCAAGACCTTTCTAGGCCTAAAAAACAATGGGGAACCCCAGATAGGTAAGACAACATTACATAGTCTTGTTTGTGATGAGTGTGTTCCTTACATTAGATAGGTAAGTATTATTCTTACTTGCCCACTAACTTTGTATCCTAGGTTTAGTCACCTCTCTGCTCAGCTGAATCCACTGAACCAGTATCCTCCCCTCAGCTAAGTCAACATATGGAAGGCTAACCCTAAGTCAGTAGTTCTCAAATTTGTCTGCACATAGAATCACCTGGGGACATATAAAGCACTGATGCCTGGGCCCCATCCCCAGAAATCCTAATTTACTTTGTCTAGGGTGCAGCCCATGCATCGGGAGCATTAAAAGCTCCCCAGATAATTCTAATAAGCATACAGATTTGAAAAACACTTTGAAAATCTTGTGTTCATCCTTTGGGTTCAACTTTGCTGCTCCCAACACGCTGTCTCTAAGCCTTTGCCTAGAGAACACCTGTTCTCTGAATTTCCAGCCGATTGGACCCACTGTCCTCCTATCCTTGGCCACAGGACTCCCCCTTTTCTTCTTTGGCTCCTGAGTAAAGCCTTAATTTTTTTCCTTTTTTCCTCATCTTTTATTGCTTAAAAGAAAAATAATACATATTATTTTTAAAGCAATTTTAGGTTTACAGAAAAATTGGCCAAAAGTACACAGAGTTTCTGTATTACTACCCACTCCTCTTGTTGCCCATATTAGCATCTGGTGTTAGTGTGGTACATTTGTTACAACTGATAAAGAAATATTGACATACACTAAAGCCTATAGTTTACATTAGGGTTCAGTGTTGTGTGTTATACAGTTCTGTGGACTTTGACAAATGCATGTCATGTGTTCACCATTACAGTATTATGTAAAATAGTTTCACTGCCCTAAAAATTATCTGTATTCTACCTATTCATCTCTTTCCTTCTGTGCCCCCTTTCCAAAATCCTGGAAACCACTGATTTTTTTTTTTTTTTTACTGTATGTATAGTTTTGCCTTTTCCAGAATGGCATAGTTAAAATGATATGGTACATAACCTTTCCAGATTGACTTCTTTCACTTCACGTGCATTTAAGATTCCTCCATGTCTTTTCATTGCTTAATAACTCATTTCTTTTTAGCACTAATTTGATTATCCATTCAGCTATTGAAGGATGTGTTATTTCCGTCCAATTTTTGGCAATTATGAATAAAGATGCTCTAAACATTGATATGCAGGTTTTCATGTAGATAAAAGTTTTTAACTCGTTTGGGTAAACACCTAGGAATGCAATTTCTGGATCATATGGTAAGAATATGTTTAGATTTGTAAGAAATTGCCAAACAGGAGCGCCTGGGTGGCTCAGTCGGTTGAGTGTCCGACTTCAGCCCGGGTCACGATCTCGCGGTCCATGAGTTCGAGCCCCGCGTCGGGCTCTGGGCTGATGGCTCAGAGCCTGGAGCCTGCTTCCGATTCTGTGTCTCCCTCTCTCTCTGCCCCTCCCCCGTTCATGCTCTGTCTCTCTCTGTCTCAAGAATAAATAAACGTTAAAAAAAAAAAAAAAGAAATTGCCAAACATATTCTAAAGTTTCTGCCAATCCCACCATCAATGAATAATACTTCCTGTTGTTCCTTCCACATCCTTACCGGGCATTTGGTGTTTGTATTTTAGCCATTCTAAATGTGTGTAGTGGTGTCTTTCTCATTGTTTTAATTTGTAACTCTCTAATGACATGATGCTGAGCATATTTCACATGCTTATTTACCATCTGTGTATCTTCTTTGATGAAGTGTGTGTTGAGCTCTTTTGCCCACTTTTTAATTGGGTTATTTGTTTTCTTATTGTTGAAATGTAACAGTTCTTTGTATATTTTCAATACCAATCCTTTATCAGATGCTATATATTCATATATTGAATTCATATATTCATATGAATAATTCATATATTGAATTCATAAAATTCATATATTGAAACCTAATCCCCAGTGTGATGGTATTAGGAGGTAAGGCCTTCTGAAGGTGATTAAATCATGAGGATGGCATATGCATGAATGGGATTAATGTCCTTATAAAAGAGACTTCAAAGAACTCCTTACCCCTTCAGCAATGTGGGAACACAGCAACAACATGCCTGGCTATAAACCAGAGAGCATGTCTTCACCAGGCACCAAATCTGCTGATGCTTTGATCTTGGATTTTCAAACCCCCAGAATTGTGAGGAATAGACTTCTGTTGTTTATAAGCCACCCTATCTATGGTATTGGTGTAGTAGCCTGAATAGATTAGGGCATCAGATATGTGCCTTGCAAATATTTTCTCCTAGTCTGTGGCTCATTTTTTCATTCTCTTATCAGTGTCTTTTGGAAAGCAAAAGTTTTTAATTTTAATGAAGTCCAGATTATCAATTTTTTCTCTCATGGATCATGTTTTGCTTGTATTTTAAAATGCATTGCATTGCTAAATCTAAGATGACCTAGATTTTCTCTTATGTTACCTTCTAGAATTTTATAGTTTTGCATTTACATTTATATCTAAGATACATTTCAAGTTAATTTTTGTGATAGGTGTAAGGTATGTTTCTAGATTTTTTTTTTTGTATGTGGATGTCCATTTTTTTTAGCACCATTTGCTGAAAAGACTGTCTTTTGTCTATTGTATAGCCTTCAATCCTTTGTCAAAGGTTAGCTGACTGTATTTGTGTGGATCTATTTCTGGGATCTCTCTTTTTGCATTGATCTATTTGTCTATTCTTTCACCAATATGATTGTCTGATTACTGTGGCTGATTACTACTGATTACTACTACTGAAGTCAGGTAGTAGCAATCCTCTGATTTAGTTCTTCTTTTTCAATATTGTGTTGGCTATTCTGGATCTTTTATCTCTCCACATAAACTTTGGAATCAGTTTGTGAATATCTACAAAGTAACTCATTGGGATTTTGATTGGGATTGCACTGGATCTGATGACCAGTTTGGAAAGAACTGACATCTTGATAATATTGAGTCTTTCCACCCACGAACATGGACTCTCCATTTATTTAGTTCTTCTTTGATTTCTTTCACCAGAGTTTTATAGTTTTCTTTATATGAATCTTATACATGTATTGTTGGATTTATACCTATGTATTTCATTTTTTTTCTGCTGCTAATGTAAATAGTGTTATGTTTTAAATTTTAAATTCCAATTTTTCATTGTTGGTGTATAAGAAATCAGTAGAATTTGTGTATTAATGTTGTATCCTGAAACTTTGCTATAATCAAAATTTTCATTTTTAAAAGGCTTGTTTTTAAACATTAAGAATATAACATGCTTAAATACTCTCTTTTTCATGGATGGGTACATACTCATATACATTGATGAGAGGCATGCACTGATAAGAGATGTGTTAATGAATATTGCTAGAACTGTTAGTAATCTTAGAACACTTCTCTCCAACCTGCTCCTTTTCCATTAAAAAAATTTGAAGGAGTGATTTATTTTTAAATTTTTTTTTCAACGTTTTTTATTTATTTTTGGGACAGAGAGAGACAGAGCATGAACGGGGGAGGGGCAGAGAGAGAGGGAGACACAGAATCGGAAACAGGCTCCAGGCTCTGAGCCATCAGCCCAGAGGCTCCAGGCTCTGAGCCATCAGCCCAGAGCCCGACGCGGGGCTCGAACTCACGGAGTGCGAGATCGTGACCTGGCTGAAGTCGGACGCTTAACCGACTGCGCCACCCAGGCGCCCCTTGAAGGAGTGATTTAATTAGACAATTGAGCTTAGAAAAGCTAAGTAACCCAGCTTGGGGGTACCCAAATTGGGATTTGAATCTATGTTCATAGCCCACAAAATCCATTTACTTACATTATATCACAATGGCTGTTTTAGAAAGATGTGGTCCCTTTGATGGCATGGAGAATTAGAGCCAGGAAGATTTATTTGAGGCTATTACAAAATGTAGGAGACAAATAATGAAGGCTTGTCCTAAGAGAGTGGCTTTTAAGGTTACAAGAAAGGTTAAAGTCAAGATAAAGATGGGCAGGACTTAGTGACAAATGAGGAACCTGAGGGAGAGGAGGAGTCACATATGATTTCTAGGTTTCTGTTTTTATTTTTATTTTTTTTAACTTTTATTTATTTTGAGAGAGAGAGTATGTGTGTGCATGCAAGCTGGGGAGAAGCAGAGAGAGAGAGAGAGAGAGAGAGAGAGAGAGAATGAGAGAAAGAGAATCTCAAGCAGGCTCCACACTGTCAGCACATAGCCTGATATGGGGCTCAAGCTCAGGAATCCTGAGATCATGATCTGAGCTGCAACCAAGAGTCAGTCACTTAATCGACTGAGTCACCCAGGTGCCCCTTTAGGTTTCTGCTTTTAGAAACAAGGTGGAAAATGCTATTACAACTGCAAAAGGAAGCACAAGACAGGGGCAGGTTTGGGAGGAAGGTAGACTTAGTCATGTGGGATGCTTTTGAGACATTCAGTAAGTATTTGGAAGTGTAGATTTAACACTCAGGAGAATACTTGAGAATTCTTGGAGATACTATTTTGGAAACATCAGTATTTAGTGATGTATTTTTTTTTTTTTTTTAATATTGAGGAAGAGGGAACCCTGGGGCACATGCCATTGTTTAAATTGCCAAAGAGATACTGCCTAAGGAAACTGAGAAGGAGTAGGCTAGAGAATTAGAAGACAGATGTTAGCTGAACCTATTGTGGTAATCATTTCACAGTACATGCTGTATACCTTAATCTTATACATTGATGTATGCCAATTATTTCCCAATAAAACTGGAAGAGGGAGAGGGAAAGGGAGAGGGGGAGAGAGAGAGAGAGAAAGGGGGGGGGGGGAAATGAATCAGGACAGAGAGGGCCTCAAAAGCCAAGGAAGAAAATTATTAAAAGAAAAGTGGAACCTTTGAGGATACATTTAAAGAATTTGTGGTTGACCAGACTGACGAAGAAAGATTAGAGACCAACTCATAAATCTTCAAGTACATAAAGCAGTTTATACGGATGAAAGCTAAATAAATATTTGTTATAATAGGAGAAATTATAAGAATTTCAGAACAATTACACTCTGGAAATAGACCACTGAAAGCTGTTTTGTGTTTTCTGACTCTGGAAATAGGTAAGACTAGAGATTCAGCTGTTCAGAAAAGGATGACTGAACACAGAATTCTCCAGAACCCATTCTAGGTCCCTTATTCTAGAATTCTAGGGGTGTAATTGTGCCAGATTTTTGTTATATTTCATAGATCCATCAAATCTTATGATATGGATAAGAATTCTATGCTCTGGGGTCAAGTCCTCATCATGGACCATAGAAGATTAAACACTTATTTCCTTGGTTTTATTAGCTATGTAACAGCTAAACATAAGTGATTTTTAAATGCTATCAGAGTAGAGTGAAGAGTCATCTGCATAATATGTTACTTTGACATTTGGTTATTCTCCCTACTTTCTGATAAACATTGTGTCCACGTTTTTCTCCACTGTACAGTCTCTGCTGTTTCTTTTCCCACTGATCCTTCTCTTCCAGCTTACTTTGAACCAGATCTCCTGCCTTTTACATAATTCTCAATGCTTTTAGTTCATACTATGTGTTTTCTAGTTTTTAATGGCCAAGGTTTCAAGCAGATAATGATCTCATAAGGTTTCAGTTCCTGGGAGGCATCATGAGGACCATATATTATGAGCCTGGTTTAATTGCTGTGTCTAAAATACCTTTTGCTTTGAATTTGAAACAGTGAATACAAAACCAATATATACACATTAACATTGAACGACACAGGTTTGAACTGGTACCCAGATTTTTTTTGATACATACTATAAAATTACTGTAAAATATTTTCTCTTCCTTATCATTTTCCTTTTTAAAAATTTTTTAATGTTTATTTATTTTTGAGAGAGGGAGGGGAGGGGCAGAGAGAGAGGGAGACACAGAATCCGAAGTAGGCTCCAGGCTCTGAGCTGTCAGCACAGAGCCCTATGTGGGGCTCGAACTCACCAACCGCGAGATCATGACCCAAGCTGAAGTCAGATGCTTAACTGACTGAGCCACCCAGCGCCCCTCCATATGATTTTCTTAATAACATTTTCTTCTCTCTAGCTTACTTTATTGTAAGAATACAACATATAATACATATACAAAGTATGTGTTCATTGACTATGTATGTTATCAGTAAGGTTTCTGGTCAACAGTGGGCTATTAGTAGTTAAGTTGTTTGGAAAGTCAAAAGTTGTATGCAGATTTTTCAGCTGCATGGGGGTTGTGCCCCTAACCCCTCATTGTTAAAGGGTCAACTTATATATGTCACCTTTGCTTCCTAATCCCCGACTCCCTTAGCCTTTCTCACCAGAGCTTTGGTATTTACCCCTAAGATGCTCCTCACTTTTTCTATTACCACTGATACCCTCCTGGCCAAGTCCTATTGTCTTTTGTTTTTGTTTTTGTTTTTCTTCAGTTTCCATTCTTGATGTCTAAGTTATATTTAACACTTTCTTATAATATTTGATGCAACTTGTCTTGCAATCTTCCTCTCCCATTCCATGGGGCTCTTACCTCTATCCACCAAATCTTCTCTTTTGGAAGCATAGTTACTGTCTTCCCCAATGTCACTCCCACTGTGGCCCTCATCACCTGAGGCCCCAACTTCTGCTGTAGCCTCTTCTCCCTGCAGTCATTCTCTCCTCTCCACCCTGTTTCACATTACCATCAAGTGAGTCCCCAGTTTTCACCATTCTTTGATTCATCAAACTATGATGGAACACCTGTCATATACAGCACTAAACTATCCTAGTGGGATAGCTCCAAAAGATTAAGTCATGTTCCCTCCTTTGGATGAACATACAGGCTGGAGAGGCAGGCACTCTTTGTCAAAACTGTGGAAGACCTTGTAAGCCATGGTAAGGAGCTGGGACTCCACTATAAAGTCAGTGAAGACCTTTAGAGTCTTAAACAAGGAGGTGACTTGATCAAATTGGAGTTTAGAAGACCACTCTTGCAGGGGTGTGGACAAAGGAGTGGGGATGATGGGATCTGGACAAGGAAAGCAGCCACGAGGATAAGGAGAAATGGATACATTTAAGCCATATTTAGGAAATGGAATCCACAGAATGTAGGGGATGGGGATATTAATTCATTGATTAATATTTCTAATGGTGACTCTGGCTAATGCTTACAAAGTAGAGAAATAAATATTGTGTACAAAAGTATTGACAAAGTTAAAAAATAGAGCCTTATGTTTTATTTTTTAAGTTTTTACTTATTTTGAGAAAGAGAGCACAAGCATGTGCATGTGTGCACGTGTGCATGAGTGGGGGAGGGGTAGAGAGCGAGGGAAAGAGAATTCCAAGCAGGCATCATGCTGACACAGTGCAGAGCCCAACACGGGTCTCGAACCCACGAACCATGAGATCATGACCTGGGCTGAAATCAAGAGTAGGATGCTTAACTGACTGAGCCACCCAAAAACAGGGCCTTCTAAATAGATAAACTCAATTAATTGGCAATTTTAGTTATGTGCAAAGTTAGGTTACCGAGGCACCTTCTTCTGACTCCTTGGTGGGGCTTTTAGGGTCTCCTGCCTGCCCCACCCACTGCAGCAATGCTCCTTAATTATTTCCCAGCATGACTTTCTGCTTCTGTCCAAACATTGTCTTGACCAATACTGTCTAAACATGCTTTGATCAACATTTGATTATTCCCATTTCTCATGGTTACCCCAACATGGAACATGCCTCATTTCTGGCAATCTGTGCCTTTCACTTTCTTCCTTAAGCCTTTCAGGTGAATTCCACACCGATTCTCCTTTTCTTTTCCCCCTCTGCACAGTAATCATGCCTATTTAACAGACTAAAAAATCTAATGTCAGTAAACATTTAGCTCACTGCCTGGCCCACAGTATTTCAGAAATGGAAGCTATTAATTTTACCCTGATACTATTTTGTTTTCTGACTTCCTGGTACAGGGCTTCACCCACAATGGAAGCTCAATGGAGATAGATGGCATGCCCATTTTATGTTGACCTGATTATAAATTACAGTGTTAATTATACGATGGCAGAAACAGAACTCTTTCTAATTTTTGGTCACCACGTTTTAGGACAGGAGGTAAAACAATCTTATTTTAACTACCATAAATAGTTTATCTGTTTCTGATGCCTGGAAACTGTTACATTCTGTAATCAAGATAGTTCTGGAAGTGAAGCAACATCAGTATAGAAGCCACCAAGAGCCATTTCTAAGATATCCATTAGTAGTGAATTCCTTACTATTTGATTTTCTGCTTTTTAATAGAAAACTGTTTTGGGGGAATCAAGATCCTATTCGCCCTGTTTCCCAGTTTGCTTTGAAGGCTCAGCTGACCAAAAGACTTGAGGACCTTGCCCATCCCAAGGAAGTCTCCCACCGATATGTACCTAACAGGTTAGTTAGTGTTTGTGTGCTATCAGGTTACATTAGTAGGAGTCCATAGGGAAAATGACACAGAATCTAGCCGTTTTATCTGAAAATGATAAATTGTCCAAACTATAGTAGAAAATTATTGAAGATTAAGGATTCTATGTATTTCCTAATCTGATTCTACAGTAAAACTTTTCCAGAGCAAGATTAATATTAGCCATTATAAACTTGTATTATACTGTATAATGCTTTAGATTACCAGGATTTTGAGTTTTTAATAAAGTGGTAGTATTACAGCAGGGTATGTACCATATATAACATTGTTGTACATGAACTATTTATACATGCAACTTTTCGTGGATTTTGTATACCACCCGTGGGCTTGATTACCATTAATTAATTACTACATGTGAAGGTTAGAATATTGTTAAGGCTTTTGATACCCATTGCCAGTTTGTTTTTAATGCATATTTGTTGAATGACCAGGTTTTCTGTTGGTTGGCTCTTTGAGGGAAGACTCTGGAGCAAGGGAGGGAATGGACTCAAGTAGTGAGGGAGGTTAAAGTAACAAGAAAAAGTTGAAGATACCATTATTTACCTGAAGTTTGGTTTCCAAGATAATTGATGTGTCCACTTTTCTCTTTTTGAGATACAACTTTAGTCAAAAGTCAGCAAACTTTTTCTGGAAGGGGGCAGATAGTAAATTTGACCATAAAGTCTCTGTTTCAACTACCCAACTCCACTACTGTAGTAGGAAGCAGCCACAGATTTTATATAAACTGAACATGTCTGTCTTCCAATAAAACTTTGGAATTTTTGCATCTATGTTTATGAGGGGGATTATTCTGTATTTTTCTTGTAGTGTCTTTGTGGTAACGTTTTTTCTTGTAATGAATGTCTTTACTCATTTTTGGTAATGCTGTCTTCATAGAATCAATTGGAAAATATATAAAATTGGCATTTCTTGTTTATGTATTTCATAGAATCCACAGTGAAATCATCTGTGTCTGGAGCTTTTGAGTAGGATGGTTTTTAATTATAAATTCAATTCACGTAATAGTTATAGGGCTGTTATAAATTTGTCAAATTAACACTTGTTAAGTGGAGCATGGGGTCACAGTTCAACAACAGATCATAACAGAATTTGAAATAAAGAAGCTTATTACTCACAGATCCTAGAAGAAGTACCCAGCATGCCTCAAGGAGTCACATGGGCAGGTTAGGACAGAGGGCAGAGAGGCAGGACCTGGGGCACATGTCTTATTAGAACTTGTAGGTGGAGTGCTTTGGGTTTCCCAGGCAAAGGCCAGATTCATCAATTCAAACCAAAAGAGCAGGGTGTTGGTAGGCTCCTTGGGAGTCATATCTGAAGGATGCATAAAAGGAAGGCATTGAGGGTCAGGTGACGAGGACTGTTGCTGAAGTCCTATCAGGAATGTATATTTACTTATGCCTCTGTGGACTGTTATCTAGGGCATGTGCTTGTGAGAGGGGCCTGTATCATTTTAAGGTCCCTAGAGGCTGCTTGGCCAAACAAAATGGGTGCTGAGGCAGGAGTACCATGGAGGGGCTTAGTTAAACTCTTGACAAGGGCTATTAAGATTATATTTTTCTGAATGAGCATTGGTAATGTGTATCTTTCAGTTTTAAAATGTGTTGGCATAAAGTTGTTCATATATTCTTTTATTTTCCTTTCACTTACTATCTGTCCAATCTCTAGTGATTGTCTATAAGAGACTAAGAAAGTATTTGGTTTTAAAAGTAGTAAATTTCCTCCTCTCACTAGTGTATTTTTTGGTCTATTTAGAAGATGCAATTTGGGACGCCTGGGTGCCTCAGTTAGTTAGGTGTCCAACTTTCACTCAGGTCATGATCTCACAGTTCGTGGGTTTAAGCCCCTTATCAGGCTCTGTGATGACAGCTCGGAGCCTGGAGCCTGCTTTGGATTCTGTGTCTCCCTCTCTCTCTGCCCCTCTCCCCCTCATGCTCTATCTCTTTCTCTAAAATAAATAACAAACATTAAAAAAAAGAATTTAGAAGATGCAATTTATTTATTACAGAAAATTAATCTGTTTTGGAATAGGATATTAGAAGCCAGCTGAAACTTGATGGCTGCAACTATTTCTGATTTCTTCCTATGTGGAAAATGGCTCAGCAGTAAAGGGGTAAACTATCATACTTGCTCCTAGGCCTAGAGCTGGAGGTTAGTGTTAAAAATTACTATGATAAGTCTAATTCATATTCACTTCACTCAGTTCTTTTCTCTTCTACAACTTTCAGGGCTCAATATTACTACAGCTGTGGTAGAGAGTCTATAATCTGGGAGATCCCTTCTGCTGCACTGTTTAGCCAGCCATCCAAAAGGATCCAGAAGCTGGCACTGCCCAACAGATTCAAGAAAGAATATCTATTAAATAGGTAAAGTACCTTGACAATCTCTATAAATTCTAACTTAATTTGGTTAAATCTCACAATATTTTATCTATTTTAGTGTATGTGGTTTTATGAACTAGAAGTCCACTTATGTTCAAAGAATCAGGGTAAAAAGATCAAATATTTGCAGCAATTGTAGGTAATCAGAAGGTTATCATCAGTAATTACATTGGACTCAATTGTGAAGTTGAACTATGCACTGAACTTAGCATCATTAGTCAGTTAAAAGGAAATATGCAAATGAAAAATCACAAGTTTTTGCATTTTGTAGAATTTGATGTTTCTCTTATGCCTCTGTGACTTTTCAAATGTTGCTCCTTTTGCTTTGAATGATGAATTTCTGCTTGTCTTTAAAAATTATTTTAATGTTTTTGTTTTTGTTTTTTTTTGAGAGAGAGAGAGAGAGAGAGAGACAGACAGAGTGCAAGTAAGGAAGGGGCAGAGAGAGAGGGAGACACAGAATCTGAAGCAGGCTCCAGGCTCTGAGCTGTCAGCATAGAGCTCAACATGGGGCTCAAACCCACAAACTGCGAGATCATGACCTGGGCCGAAGTCAGATGCTCAACCAAATGAGCCACCCAGTTGCCCCTCTCCTTGTCTTTAAAAGACAATTTTTGGGCACCTGGGTGGTTCAGTCAGTTAAGCATCTTGATTTCTGCTCAAGTCATGATCTCACGGTTCATGAGATCGAGCCCTGCATATCGGGCTTTGCGTGGATCCTGCTTAGGATTCTCTCTCTCCCTCTCTCTGCCCCTCCCCCTCAAAATAAATAAAACAAACTTAAAAAAATTAAGTAAAAGACAGCTTAGGTGATACTTCCATATGGCAGCTAAGATTGTGATATGGTTCTTGGAAAAATGCTAAGTTGCATTAATGGAATATATACAGTGTACAGTTACAGGGAGGTGATGGTCCTAGCCTATACTACTTTAGTCAAGACATAGTAGGTGGATGTTTCCACTTATGGATGTTATTCTTTAAGAAAATGATACTTATGCTAAGTGAAATGTCATACAGAGAAGGACAGATTCCGTATGTTTTCACTCCTGTGTGGATCCTGAGAAACTTAACAGA